CATTTTTTCACCAGTGTTTCACAAGTGTTTCACCAGTGTTTACCAGTGTTTCACAAGTGTTTCACCAGTGTTTCACTGGTGTTTCACCAGTGTTTTATCTGTGTTTCACCAGTGTTTCACAAGTGTTTCACCAGTGTTTCGCTGGTGTTTCACCAGTGTTTTACCTGTGTTTTACAAGTGTTTCACCAGTGTTTTACCAGAGTACAGCCTCTGTTTTGAGCGCTCTGATAGTTTTTATTCCTTCCATGTCTAACTTTGTGTCCCGCTTGTCTCCTTCTTTTGCAAAGTGTCTCATAGTGAAGGACAGGGTAAGACCGACTCAGTGGTGGCTTGTTCTGCATGGGTCACAACTATTGTCTCTCGCCTATTAACCCCCCCCCCCCCCCCCGACCAGACTCCATTCACATTCGGCTCTGAGTTCATCCTCAGCATCAAAACAGGACTTAAGCATTCTTCAGATTTTTATTGATCAATGACGAATCGGAGAATGAATTCAGACTCTGAACTTTCACTAATGGGCAGACGGAGCATGAGACCTGACCCGACAGTGTTCGGGGGTGGGGGGTGTTTCTTTACTGTCCCCACTTCCTGTGGCTGCAGGCTGTGCTCAGGTAGAGTGGAACCAACATAAACTAACATGGTTTCTGAACGATTGGCATGCATTTTACCTGCAGAGCTTTTACCTAAATGCATGTTGTCTCCACCTGTGTGTTTGTGACTGGGCCAGTCCCCTTGTGGGGGAACGGGTCCAGCTCAGGTGAATGTATTCCACCTTCCCTTAAAGCAGCGCTGTGCAGTCCTGGTCCTCCAGGGCCACTGTCCTGCATGTTTGAGCTGTTTCCTAGCTTGGGATATCCTCGACTTCTACAGAGACTCGTTTTGTTCAAATGACGTGAAGCAGAGAAACATCTAAAACCTGCAGGATTGTAGTCCTCCAGGACCAGGACTGGACACCCCTGATCTAAAACCTGCAGGTTTTTGGCCATTGTGGATCTGGACTGGACCACCGATGCCACACCCCCTGCCTTTTTTAAGTCCAGTTGTGTGTAATTTCTCTGAGCAGTCAGTATCTTACCTGCAGAAGACAACAGACAGTGTTAAGAAGATGTTTTTAGACAAAACCAGCAGATTATTCTTTGTTTCGTTGTAATCCTGCATCCTAATGGTGGAAAAGACCGTCAGCCTGTCAAGGACAAATCTACTTATTTTAGCTTCTGTTTTATTTATGTTCACCCTCCTGCTGCCCTTGGGTCAAAATGACCCCCGAAGCCTCAGTCAAATAAAATCCCAAACCATCAGGGATATATTTATTCAAGCATTCGGTTTAGTATATTTAGGATTTTAAAAATGAGGTCTGGGGTGGGGGTGGGGGGTCATTTTGACCCCAGGGCAGGAGGGTTAACCCTGATGGGTTAGTTTCAGCTCTTGGGGCTCACGGTGTACGCTTAACAAAAATGGGTAAAATTTCTAGTTAGTTTTAAAACAAACCCTGGTTCTGAGGTGGAAACTGAAGTGTGTTTAATGTTGGACGGAGATGGTCCTCAGAACCTGGTCTGTCTGGTCTGTGGAGGAGCAGCGCCTCCTGGTGGACGACAGGGATCCAAATCAAAGGAGTTCTTTTTCTGATCAGGACCGGTTCCTCCTCAGCTTGTTCTGTGGGTCCGTTTATAGCCGACCACAGAACCTGCAGTTTGTTCTGCATCACGTTCCACAGTGGGAGACGACCCACCAGCGGCTCTCCTCTCACCCCCATCCTCCACCTCAGCAGCCTCCATCTCTCGTTCTGCTCCCGTCCTCCCCGTCCCCTGACGCTCGTTTGCGAAATTAACCCTAACCCTCAGCTGAGATCAGCTGTCAGAAAGTTTTAAAACCAACATCCAGAAAGTTTGAACGGTTTGTCTTCCTGCTGGAGGCGGAGCTGCACCTCTTTAAGGCAAAATGACAAAATGTAAAAACATAAATAAAACAGGAAAGGGAAACATCTGGAACTTTAAGGAGCAGCAGGAAAAACTGCAAAGAAACAGATGCAGAGAAGAGAGAACTTCAGATTAAAACGATGTGGAGATAAAAACTGTACAAAGAGAGAAAGATGGAGCAGATTATAACAATTTTAGATGACTGGAGGTGTAAAAAATAGGAACAAGAAGCAAAAATAAAACAAAATAAAAGTCAAAAATACCCAAGTCAGGAGAGAAACAATCAGATTAAAGCTCATAATTAGTCATAACGCTGAAATATTTACTATTTTCTGCCTGTTTTATTGAACAGTCCCACAAACTATTGATGTGCGGCTTAACAGAATTACATACGCAATGCATGGTGGGATTGGATCTGTGGAGCTGACCGGTTCTCATGCCGTTTTAGGACAAAATTTAAGATTGCTTGTTGGATAAAGAGCTGGACAAAGAGTCGATACGTTTGTGTAAAGAACTAAGTGATTAATTAAAAAATGTCTCGGTTACATCAGCAGCAGCAGCACCGGCGTAAACAGCAACAAACACTCAGAAAGTGTGCTTCGCCGTGATCGTGCCATTCCAGGAAACCACAGATTAACTTGTGTTTTATAAAAGGTTCTGGTGGTGGACTCAGAGGGGGTTCACGGCTCTGAGGGGTCGGTGCCGACGAAGCGTGGGGGGTCAGAAGGTTTGGACCGAGCCGATCTCATCAGTTGATGACCAGCTGAACAACGGTGAGAAACTGAATGGATTAGCGGTCTCTGCTAATCTGCAGCTGCAGAGGAAACGGACCCAGAGAGCGAGACGTCAGCGTGAGGCCGTGACGCTGCCTGACAGCTGGGGGCCGATCCAGCAGCTGATTTACGCCAGATTAGTCTGGACCAGCGCCAAGTCAGACTCAGTCAGGACAGACGTGCGGCGCTGACGACGGACCCGGCTGCTGAGCGCACCCCGCCGCGTTTTGAGGGTTTCCAAAGGCCATGATAGGGGTCTGGGCCTTTGAACCCAAAGGAGGATTTTGTTTGTTCACTGCTAAATAAACCGATGAGATTATTAATCTGAAGGGAGGTAAATCTGCAGCCAAAGCAAGGTGATACTCAGTAGCCATGGCAACATGTGAGTACCGATATTTGCAGGTTTTATGATGAGATTAAAGCTTTGTTTTGTCTGAAATCATCCGTCACTTCATGACGACGGACTGTGCTGAATGTTTTTGTCCCAAGTCTGTCCGTGAATGTTGAGAGCACGATAATTAGAATAATAACCTCACACGATGCCTTAATATGTTGCTTTATTCTACTAGGAGTTGTTGCTTCTGACACGTAAAAACTCGTAATTGCTTAAAAAATATATATATTTAAAACATTTTTCATCTTAAGGACGCACTGTTAATTTATCGGTGCAGTGCATTGTGGGGCGATGACATACATCGGTTGTAGTGGAGACTAAAACACAAGGGGTCGGCTAAAACGTTACAACATGTGACAATAAAGTGATATTTTGCATTACTGTAGTTCATATTCTGTTATTAAAAAACGTATACGATCAAACGTGATCAACTTGCCATGTTTGGTATATTAGCTCTGAAGCTAACGCTAACCGGCTAAAGCTATGATACTTCCCACAAACGTCTGCCCTCCAGTCTCCGGACTGTTGCCATGTGTGCAGTCCTGGTGATTAATGTGTGGCTGTGCCAAGTGTTGTGTCTCTGTGGTCCGGGTCGGATAAAGTTTGGCTTTACATCGGCTCCAGAACTCCTCACCTCAAACTAGGACACACAGCAGTGGATGTGTAAAGTGACAATAAATATTAAAAACTTTATTATAATAATTTCTATCTGGTAAGTTTTTCATCCGATGTTTGACATGAACAGATTGGGATAGAAGGCGGAGCTCTGTGCAGCATCATGTCTCTCATCAGCAGCTCTTCTGTTCCTCTTCATCGTTCAGTCTTCATCGTTTTCAGCTGCAGGCTGACTCATTTCTGCATCCTCGTCTCTGTCAACGCACCGGTTCAAATAAAAGGGCTGAACGTCAGATAATGCCCAAAAATGTTCAAGCTGGATGGAGCTTGCACCGGAGCAGCCTGTCTAAGCCATTTCCCCAGAATGCATTGCAGTTTAAACAGTGACTTCCATGTAACATTACTAAAATTTATCAAAACTAAACTGCCTACAGTATTTTTATGGTCTCATTTTAAAGCTCCTTCATTCCAATTACCGTATTTTTCGCTGTACAAGTCACATTTTTTTTGCATAAATTTGCAAGTCCTGCAACTTATACACAGAAGCGACTAATATACGTTTTCCCCCCATATTTATAACACAATTTTTGGCTGAAATCTGACAATTTCATTCATTTTGACATTGAAAATATTGAACACTACCATTTTCAGCTACTTTAGGACTCTTGAGTAATATGGCAAGCCATGTGTCTCATTAATAGGTAAAAGTGGCTATTAATGAGACACTTGGCTTGCCATACAAGCCACCTTCGTTTCGCTCCAGAACTCCTGGAGCAAACGTCAAATCAGCTGCGTTTCACTGCGGCGCCGCGGTGAAATGCAGCTGATTTAACCATTAAAGTGCATTTATTAAGGAAAAGTTAAACTGAGACACACCTTTACTATAATTTCAAGCAAACAAATAATTGTTTTTTAGTGTTAATCTTGTTCAGTTCTTGTTAAAGACCTCCCGTGCACACTCCCGCAGCCGCCATTTGGCAGCCAATCGATTTTTGGTGCAACACCGACCCACGTTTCCGGGTTGTCAGTGGTGACGCATAATAGATGTGACTTATATGGCGAAGCAACATATTTATGTTTTGTTCCACTTTATTAGACATTTTTTGACTGATGCGACTTATACGGTGGTGCGGCGTGTACCGTGGCAAGTACGGTAGTCAGAGATTTCTTTGATAACAAGGGAACAAATGCCCCCTAAAGTTCATAAGTGGTGAAAATGTTCTATAATTTAAAAAAAATATTTTTGCTGCTGCTGCTGATGTAAACCTGCCAACCTCCTGCGTGTCCTTTTCACCCCTCCAGGTAATGTGGGTTTGCAACCTGTGCCGTAAGCAACAGGAGATTCTCACTAAATCTGGAGAATGGTTTTCCGGGTCGGGGGTGCGGCCCGGGAGCCTCGGCACCACCTTGAACGACGCGGCCTCCAGAGGTGAGGCTCAACGCGACAGGAAGCTGCTCCGCTCCAAATCACAAGCCCCGCCCTCCAGCACAAACGCAACTCTGCCGGACGGAACGGCGTCGCCTGCCGGAGTCATCGCTGCCAAAGGTGGCAACGCCATGCCTGGATCCCGGACCCAGAGTGAACCACCGAGAGAAAAGTAAGACACCACATTCTTCATATACATATTTAAATATACATTTATATAGTGTTTTAATAAATTATAGGAAATATATACAACACAATACAATATTGTATATAATACAATAAGCTATTGTACAATTTAATAATATAATATAAAGTGATATCCAAAACAATATTCTATGATGCAATACAATACATGATACAATGTATTACAATATGATACAACTTGATGTGATATATGAGACAACTGTTGCTATATAAAACAATAAAATTATGAAATATAATATATGAAATGAGTTGATAAAATATGATACAATACAATTATTTGTAGTATGATATAAATATGATTTGATACAGTACAGCTAGCAATATATTATACTGAAAGGTATGTACCCGCTATGTACCTGGTACGTTCTCGGTAAGTGCCATGTACGTACCAGATAGGTATCCATTAATACAGAGTAAAAGTCACTTCATTATCCAGCCCAGTTCATGTATGTACCAAGTACATACACAGTACATACCAAGTACACACCTGAACAGGTCCAGGTATGTATCTAGTAAAGACTAGGTATGTACCCAGTACGGATCAGGCACAAATTGGTGGCAAAAATTCATAACAAACGTCCTCCTAGAATACTGGACAAAAACATTCACATACATTATAAAATACGAATTAATAAAAGTTATGTATCTAAAGAAACCAGTGGATTGTGCTGAATCCTCACCTCATCACAGTCTCCCATCCTGAACAGCATACTGGAAACAGTGGGAAGGAAAAACTCCCATTTCACAACAAAAAAATAAATCCCAGCAGAACCAGGCCCAGTATGGGTGGCCATCTGCCTCGACTGTCTGTCGTTAGAGAGGACAGGACGGAGACACAAACACAGAATGACTGGTCCAAGTTTAGTTTATGATCCACGTGTAGGTTCTATGTTCTAGGTGTAGTTTTTATGTCCAAGTGTTGTTCCTATGGTGTAAGTGTAGTTTCTATGGTTCAGATGTAGTTTCCATGGTCCAGATGTAGTTTCCATGGTCCAGATGTAGTTTATATGGTCCAGAGGTAGTTTACATTGGCCAGGTGTATTTTCTATAGTCCAGTTGTAGTTTATATGGTCCAAATGTAGTTTCTATGATCCAGGTGTAGTTTATATGGTCCAGAGGTAGTTTACATTGACCAGGTGTAGTTTCTATGGTCCAGGGATAGTTTATATGGTTCATGTGTAATTTCTATGGTCCAGATGTAGTTTATATGATCCATGAGTAGTTTATATGGTCCAGAGATAGTCCCCATGGGCCAGGTGTATTATCTATGGTCCAGGGTTAGTTTCTATGGTCTTGGCATAGTTTATATCGACCAGGAGTAGTTTTTATGGCCCAGGGATAGTTTATATGGTCCAAGTGTAGTTCCTATGGTGTAGGTGTAGTTTGTATGGTAAGAAAGACAAAGAAAACATGTTAATGATAAAAATAATTACAAATACACACATGAACAAAAAAGCATATAAAGACAGCAGCAGAGTGAGGAGATGTCAGTTTGTCCTGCATCAGTCTAAGCCTATAGCAGCAAAACTAAGAAATAGCTCAGGAAATCCAAACCAACCCTAACTATATGGTTTATTAAAAGGAAATTGAAAGGTTATTATTGAAAGGTTTATTAAAAGGAAAGTCATCAGCCTGGTCTTAAAGTAGACAGAACATCAGCCTCACTGACAGAAACTGGACGTTGGTTCCACAAGAGCCTGAGAACTGAAAGCTCTGCCTCCCGTTCTACTTTTAGAAACTCCAGGAACCACAAGTAAACCTGCAGTCTGAGATCCTAACAGGAACAATGATTTATTTAATAAAGATGGAGCTTTGTTTTAAGAGCTTTGTTACGTTCAATGTAATATTTTAAATTAATCATCCTTTGGGAACATTATTTGAGGTTTTACCTGAAGTGGAAACAGCTTATTTTGCAAAGGGTTTAAGATAAGACAAGATTAATGTGTATTTACACAGTCTCTACCTTCTGCCAGGAAGCAACAGTAAAAGTTTTGAGACTGGTCCAACAAACCTTCTGTCCTTGTTTGACTTCAGACGCTCATAAATGTCCTTACGAGAGAATGGAGGAGTTCAACCTCCCCATCTCCTCCAACTATCTGTTTTTGTTTGGACTGCTTCAGGGGTTTCAGGTCCTCTGTAAAACTTGTGTTTAAATGAAATAACAGTGATTCTTCTTCATTCCAGGAAAAGACCAGTTTCCCTCCATGAACAGAACGGCAGAGGGGGGACGGGGCGCGGCAGTGGACGCAGACCTGCTGGAAAGCTTCAGTCCCACTCGTCCCTGGACGAGCGTTCGGGTCTCGGAGACAGAGGAGACCGAAGGTTAGGGAGCGGACGGCGGCTGGAGAAGATCAACTCTCAGGACTACGAAGACGGGAATGAGAACCTGGGAGGTTCTGGGACACGCAGGAGACGCCCAGAGGACGAGGAGCAGCAGGAGAGGCAGCGCCGCGAGGAGGAGTTCCAGAATCGTTACCGTAGCGACCCCAACCTGGCGAGGTATCCGGTGAAACCGCAAAAGGAGGAGCAGGAGATGCGCATGCACGCTAAGGTGTCCAAGGTTCGGCACGAGCGGCGGCACAGCGATCTCGCCATCAACGAGGTCGGGCTCGGACCGAATGAAGGAGGAGGCAGGGGAGGTCAAGTACCTGAAAACCGCCTGAGCAGGAGGAGCGGGCGTGGGGAGGGAGACCGTAAAACCCTCCTTGAGAACCACCAGGCTTTCTCTGGGGACAGGACCGCGGGAATGGGAGGTGGGGCACCACCCGTGGGAGAAGGAGGGAGATCGGGGCCTCAGCTCGGAGGACTGGTTCCTGACCTGAACCAGAACAGTAGCCACCAGGATCCCGGTCCAATGCGGGACAAAGGTGGGGACGGCCTGCTGAGGAAGGACTCCCAGAGCTCCGACCAGTCGGAGTCTTTGCGGCCGCCTCCTTCGCGCTCCTACAAGAGCAAGCGGGGCGGCAACAAGAGGCAGATGTCCATCAGCAGCTCGGAGGAGGAGGGCGGCTCCACGCCCGAGTACACCAGCTGTGACGACGTGGACATGGAGAGCGTCAGCGAGAAAGGTCAGTCACACAGATGTGCTCCGTCCAAAACCTCTGAAGCTAAATCCTCTGAACGCGCAGTCCCTCCTGGGTTTGGGGTCATCTTTCTTTGGACTATTAGGTTCAGATTTGGTCCAGTTCTTACACCAGAACCTTTCGGCTTGCAGCAGCCAGAATCTGAAGCTGATCTTTGCATTTCCTACATCTCTGAGCTGTGGACCCAGAGGGCAGTCATGGCTCTGTGTGTAACCTGCTGTTTGACTGGACCAACAGGGAAACGTTCCCGTTAACTCTAATGCATCCCTAATAATAAATAACGTGTAATCACGCATAATCCTCTAATCCCTAAAATTATTCCTCTATCAACTCTGAGTGAAAGTTTATAAATTATTCTCTCTGTTCAGATACGTTTTTCTCCCGTACGTTGTTTTTTTCAACTACCGTATTTTTCAGATTATAAGGTGCGCTTAAAATCTTTTAATTTTCTCAAAAATTGACAGTGAGCTTTATAATTCTGGTTGTGTTTACTGACCTCGAACTGGTTTTATGTGGTTATTGTGAATTAGTTAAATAAAGTTTGACTTATCTGACTGTTTTGTTTCGCTTAATGCGCCTTATTGTCTGAAAAATACGGTATTTATGTCTCAAAGCGTTCGGCTCATTCAGCCCGTTCCTGCTCGGACTTTTGGTATTGTGTTATTTTTTTAAATATGCAGCTTTGTCGGCCATGTTTTTCTCATTAAAATGAGCGGAGCTCTCGTCACGTCCTTCAAAGCTTTCGAGCTGTTTACAACCTGTTACTGCACATTTCAGCTGTTGTTCTGCTTCAGCTTCCTTCAGCTTCTTTCTGCTTTTAATGTTTGTTTTTTTTCAGCTACTGTTTAGAAGTAGTTTTTTGGGTAATTTTAGCTATTTTAAACAAATTTCACTTATTTCTGCTCATTTCAGCTTCTTTCTGATTTATTCAGCAAAAGTGCTTTTTTGGCTTCTTTCTGCTGATTTCAGCATTTATTGCTTTTTTCCCCAGCTACGTTTTTGCTTAATTCAGCTGTTTTGTTCTCCTTTCGGCTTCTTTCTGCTGATTTGATCTTCCGTTCAGTTTCTTACAGCTTCAATTCAGCCACTTTTAGACATATTGAGCTAAAATTAGGTGTGGTAGTAGCTGAGAATCACCCCCAACTTGTCCTGACTGCACACTGCACACCTGATGGTGGTCTCGGTGCTGATTTTAGGCTCCCAGGGTCAATGGTCACCCCTCAAAAGAACTTTAAATGATAACCTTTTAACATTTAGTTTTTTGTCTCATTTTAATATTTTCCTGCTGCTTTCTTTTTCTCGTGCTCCTTTGATCTTCTTTTTTTCTACGTTTCAGCTACTGATGTATTTCAAGTAAGGATTAGCTTGTCCAGTATCATTTCAACAATCAGCTTCACACGTCTTTTCTCAGAAATTAAACATTCTCTCATTATTAACGTGAGACGGCTGCATTATGGTATGGTCTCCGTCTGTTGGTAAACTTTCTGTGGTCCCGCTCGTAACGTCTCATCCGCTCAAGAGAATTTAACGGAACGTCATACACGTAGGGCTGGACGATATGGCTAAAACTTTTATCACGATATATTTCTTAATTTCGGTCGATACCGATATAATTCCGATAACGATATAAACAAAATCAAAACCTCAGAAAAACTGTACGTACCGTACAAATAAATTAATGTTCACCTTTTATTTGTATTTAGCCTAAAAAGAAATTTGAAATCACCGTTGAATAAACATAAAACTCCCAATTTTGTCAATATTAATAGTTTTAACGTTAAACAACAACATAATCTAACCCATGCTTTTATTGTGCTTCATCTTCTGACCCTCAGCAGATTCTATCGAGTGGAACAAGTTCGATGTGTTCCCACCGCTAGTTGGAAAGACTCTCCGTCACATTGTTCAGCACACTAAAACCTGCGGTTTATCGGATCTTAGAAAGCCGAACCACTTCCACACCGCCGGATTAGTCTTTCCTCTCTTATCAGTTATGTCGTCTGCTTTCTCTTCGCTTGCGAAAGCTTGTTCACTCACATTCTGACGGTCACGGGCACTCGTTTTGAAGCGAAAACTTACCGCACGTTGGAGCCTAGCCCGCTACCGCTGACTCCTTCTGGACTGGAGCTCAGTGGGCGGTGTACGTCACCACGCACTTACAGAGTTATGTGTCTCGGCTTTTTCTTTTCGGGTTGAAACGACCCGAACAGAAAAAGAAATGCGTCAGTGAAACGCTGTAATCATAGCGTAATGTATATCGGAATATCGAACATGTGCTTAAAACTTGAAATTGAATAAAAGTATATCGTGATATATATCGATATCGAATTATCGTCCAGCCCTACATACACGTATGCATCAACACTAGACGGAGTCGTAATCTTTTCTTCACCCCAGCTGTAAGGTCGAGGTCAAAGGTTAGACAAGGTATTTGCTCGTGGAGACCATTGCTATAGCTGTTTAGCTGTATGATAGATTGTTGACGAGCGGATAATGTGCCGAATGTGAGACTCTTGCGAATCATTCGGATCGTGGCGGATGCATAAATGCAGCATCTCGCTGCGACTGTTGATGTTTGTGAGGGAGTCTCAATCTCGTCTGTTTAGTAAATTCTAGAGATCTAGAGCTGTAATAGGCCTGAACGTCCAGGTCAAAAGAGCTTTCTGATGAATCTGCCGACGTACGCCAGTAAAATGTAAACCACGTGGTTGGCAGTCAAGGCGGGTTCAGAGCGGGTCAGTCCAAGTCACCATCAGGTCCCTGACAGTCACAGCTCAGGAAGACATAACGTTAAATATTAGCTTGTTGTTCTGGTCTGCAATCATTTTTGATTCACAACTCAACTTTGGAAAAAAACCAGAAACAATAAGAGAAAATGTATTAAACATGCAGCTTGGTGTGCTTATCCTGTACTTTGTTTATTCAATGTAAACAAAGTGTCACCATTTAGACCAGGGGTCTGCAAGCTGTGGCTCTGGGGCCACATGCGGCCCTTTAGTCCCTCATCTGTGGCTCCATGAAGCTTTGACCAAAACTTACAGGAAATGTAATTGTTCTGGTTTTTAAACTCACAACAAAAAAAGCTAGTTTTGGCTTATTCTTTGTCAATTTTCTGCAAATGTTTGAACGACACTATTATTTTTTGCTTTATTACTTCAAAGTGGGATACTTAATTTCTCCTCACCTAGAAGACCACATAGTCCTGCAGAGTTCAGCGTTTTCATTTTCATTAGGGATGCACGATATTGGATTTTTGGCCGATATCTGATACCGATATTTTATATACGTTCCTTAGTCAGAACATAGCCCTCTCTCTTATTTTGGTTTATTTGCTACAAAAATTGTGCAACAGCTGTAAGAGCTGGTGACATATATTCAATAACAGCCATATGCATATCACTTTAACTTATATTAAATGAAAAGTGTTATTTTTTAGCATTAGTCACCTGCGCTGCTGTCTCACTTGTGGAGGCTTGTTCCAGGTTCCTATAGCTGCAGTGTGGGATCATCTGCACTCCTGTGCATGAAGGACAGACTTTTTAAGTTCAAAGTTTTTGTCTATCCATTGTGCCGTAAGACAACATGCTAACGGGGCTAACGCTTGACGTCCAAATGTCTGTAGTAAAACTCACCCAAGTGCTATCGGCTATTAGCTTCTCAATGACGTTGGAAATGACGGCTTGTAACTCTGGTAAGGCTACGTCGAAAAAATATCTCTGACTGGGGGACGATGTAGCGAGACTCAACGTAGTCCATAAATCTTCGTAATCTGACTTCCTTAACAAAAAAAACTTGCACACCGCCGACATTTTGACTTCTTCCTCTCCGCGGTGATCAGATCAGGTGACGCGTGACGTCATCACGTTGTGTTGCCGCTGCAGGCATCCTTGTCACTGAGTTGTCATACAAAAACAGCATATTTTGTATCGGTGAGTTATTTTGATGGAATGGCCGATATTGAACTTTAACGCTAATATCGGCTGATACAGATAATATCGTACATCCCTAATTTTCATCTAAAGGTAGAAACTAGAAGTTTTTACTTCTTTACATAATTTGAGTTATTTTTTCTTGTCCCAAAATGTACAAATGTGAATAAATGTTGAAATTCATTATTGATTATTAGTTTTAAAGCGTCACCGCCACAGGTCTGGAAAACCCCCTCCAACTATCTCCAGGTATCCCATGGGCCACCAGTTGATCATCACGGTTGTAGCAGGTTTCGTGGCTCCGGGCTCTTTTTTTATTTAATGAGTGAAGGGGCAGAAGTGGCTCTTTGACCAAAAAGGTTGCAGACCCCTGATTTAGAAGGTTTCAAACCCAAGACTGGGGACTTTTTATGGATCTTAAAATAAACGTAACACAGCAGAGAGCGCACCCAAACTTTAACATTAAATCTGAGCTCCAAATCCAGATCTGATCGAGGACTTTATTTAACTTCTCCTCCACAAAGCGCTGTATTTATTTCCAAGAGAGACCTGGTTTTGGCAGCAGATGTTGGGGGTTAAGTGCCTTGCTCAAGGGGCCAGAGTGGGGCAAATGAGGGTGGAGGCAGGTGTGGGTGTTTCAGCTTTTCCACCCACATTTTGATGTTGTCGGTCCGGGGAGTTGAACCGGCAACCTTCCGATCACAGGCCTACCTTCCCTAACCTCTGCGCCACCACTCCCCAGATGAGCATGCAAGACCATCAGAACCTCTGGACTCTCACAGCTCAGGACTTTAGTAAATCTGATCATTTTGCCTTCACCCGGTGACCGTTTGAGGCCTGTTTTACGCTCTGCGTTCCTGTCTGCCTTTCTTAGTAGTGCAGCCGGGGAGCGACAGTGGACCTCGTGATCCTGGTTCTCTGATCTCCTACAGCTCAGACACCAAAACGTCAGCCATTTTTGTCAGCTGGATTAAAACAGGAGGAGGTCCCAGATTCCTGCTGGGCTTCAGAGACGAACGACGATGGAAATCTGAACCTTCAGCATTTCTCCTCGTTCCTGTCCGTCCTGTCTGTCTGCTACGTATCCGTGCTGAGGCCCCCCCCCCCCCACCCAGCAGATCTCATTTATCTGGAGAGTCACTGTGATTTAGGCCAGCAGATTTGTGGAATTAGGTCAGTGGCTCTTTGGCTACGTAACACATCGCAGCAGACAGCTGCAGCAGCCGAGCTCGGACCGCCGGCTGAAATCAGCTGTTGGACCGCTGGTTCAGACCCACCTGCTCTCTGCTGCAGAAACACCTAAACGATAATAATAAACCCTCGGGGTTAGATTGCTCGGAGGCAGCAGCTAGCGTTAGCTGTCGGCTGATCGCTCTCACTGGTCCCAGAACGTGGCGGCTCCAGCTGTTTTAATCCAGATTAGTTGTAACATGTAGATGGTGTGGTTTGGGATTATTAGCTGTTTTAAACTCTTTAGTTTGCTGAGGCTCCAAACAGGAAGTGTGGTTCTGTTTTCTTCTGTTGCAGAAAGGTTTTAAAAAGTTCATGTTGAAAGTCTGGAGTTCAAATTCTTTTATAAATAAAAATGTAAAAATAAGACAATTATAATTAATTTGCTTCTGTTTGACCGTAAACAAATAGTTTCTTTATTTCCGTCTGTTTTGTTCAGTTAATCTTTAACTCAGATTTGCAGCTTTGTTTCGTCTGGTTTTGAAGAAACCAGATAAAATATATTTTTAACCTTTTTCCATCTGTCTTAGTTGCAGATAGAAAAAAAAACATTAGATTTATATTTACCGTGTTGGTTTGTATAAAAAACACGCCACATGTTCATTCAACCTTTATTTAGACAGGTTAATCCCATTGAGCCTCGAGGACTCATTTACAAGAGAGACCTGATTTGTTGCCCTCATGGTTCTGCTGGAGGTCCGTTACTGTAAAAAACAGTTTTTCATCTCCCTGATATCTGTAATAGAAACCATAGAAACCAGTCAGTTACACAGCTGAGGGGTGAAGTAGCTCCAGTTAACTAAAGGCCGTTTCACAGAACAAACTACAGTCCCTCTGAGGCTCGAAAACACAAACCGACCCGTGTTGTAATCAGAAATTAAAAGCTAACCTCCCATGTGGCCAAATTATCAGCTAGGTGGTGGGACCGGATCAGAGCCGCTGAGGTGGTTCAGACCCAGAATGCATGAACGGCTAATAAATGTTTAAGACTAGCAGTAGTAATTAGCTTGGGCTAGCTGTAATAGTAGTAGTAGTAGCCCTTAGCTCAATCTAGCTGTTAGCTTAGGTTAGCCCAGACTATCCATTAATTCAGACTAGCTGTTAGCTCAGACTAGCTGTTAGCTCAGTCTAGCTGTTAGCTCAGTCTAGCCTTCAGCTCAGACTAACCATCAGCCTAGTTTTTTGGTCAGTTTAGCCCTTTGCTAAGTACAGCCATTAACTCAGACTAGCTGTTAGCTCAGTCTATAGCCTTCAGATTGGACTAACCATTAACTTAAACTAGCATTTAGCTTGAGCTGTCCGTCAGTTCAGAGTAACGGCTCAGACAGGCTGTCAGCTCAGACTAGTTATTCGCTCTGATTAGCCATTAGCTCAGACTAGTTGTTAGCTTGGACTCGTTAGTGCAGACTAGCCATCATCTTGGAATAGCCATTAATTTATATAGAATATAGAATGTAAATTATGTTGCTATGGCGGTGCACAGAAGTGCAGCGGCTTCTCATGCTCCCAGGATTAAGCCTTATTTTAATTATTTTAATTCCTATGAGGCTGTTTTAGACACTAGTTCAGTGCTATATCCACGGCTCAAGTACCGCTCAACTGAACTGATAGCCATCAGAGACAATTCAGTTATTAAGATCTGGGACCTGAGTCCGAATTTCGTACCATAAACATGCAAATGTGAGCTGGTATGACAATAAAAAAAAACTTGAATCCTTGAACTTAGATTAGCCATCATGTTGGAATAGCCATTAGCTTAGACAAGCCATTAGCTTAGACTAGCCATCATCTTGAACTAGCTGTTAGCTCAAATTAGTTGTTAGTTTAGACTAGCTGTTAGCTCAGACTAATCATTATCTTGGACTAGTCATTAGCTCAGACTAGTTGTTAGCTT